TTGTATAGAAGAAAATCACAATGACTGTCAATTCTAGGTTTATTCGTGGAATAAGGAATGGGTGTTACATAATTAATCAAAACCCACCAATAGTCCAAAATTAGTTTTATGTTCATTTCACCTTTTACTGTACCCACCAAGAAACAAAACTGCTGATTGGGGATGGTTTTGCTTTGCTTTGCTTCTTTAATATCTTTGTGGGAAATAAAATTTAAGGGAAAGAAGGAAAAGCTAGTATAATTTTGAATAATTGATCTCCAAATAAACATTGTTTTCAGAATTTGAGGACTGTATCTGATTACATTTTTGAAAGCTTTAATAATTAAAGGTAACTAGGATTATTTCCCTACTAGTTTCAAAACTAGAAAATGGATTTTAAAACAAGAGTACCAGTTCTGCCACTGTTTTGTGACCTTGATCCAAATTACTTACCATTACCCATTCTGAGACTTTGTTTCTCTGTTCGTGAAATGAGATAATAGTAATATCTACCTTCATGAGTTACTGGTAAGGAGTAAGTGAGCTATAATACCCAGAGTGCCTGGCACTACTACTATAAGGACTCAGATGTTAAGCCATATTATTTGGAAAAAGTATACCAACACACTTGGAGTTGAGTAGTCTCCATTCTAATCTTGGCACTACTACTTACTAGATCACACAACTTTTGTCTAGTTGTTTATCCTGTCTAGACTTTGGTCTCCTCTTTTGTAAAATGGAGGTAATAATAGTACCTACTTGAAAGTGGCTGCTCAGGATTAAATGAAATAATTCACATTAAGATAGTGCAAGAACATCTAATCTAGAACATGGCACATAGTGAGCATTCAATAAGTGTTAACTATTATGATGAAAATGGTGGTGTTTAAATTAGGGACAGCTTGTCAAAAGATAGATTTATCCACTCTGATATCTCTTCCCCTTCCCATTAACTAGTCTCCCGACTATACAGATTATACTAAGCATGGGGAAGTGTGTACATTTCACTTATTTTATTGCTGTTCCACTACAAATTATTAAGTAAGCCTCCTTTATTAAGTTTTGGCACAACTGACTGAAGCAGTAACTGGAGAAGCTGTTAGTTATCATAAAGATCTTTCTCACTTTGTTATATTTTTATAAAGCTGCAAGATCATTTCTGGTTTGAAAGGCCTGATGTTTAAGGCCAAAGACCAGGGCAGGAAGGAGGATGTTCTCTGTGAGAGCAGCAGTGGTGTGTTCAATCCTACAGGGAGCCTGTTTCATTGTCTGTGAACCTGACCTGTGTTGCCTTTACTGTATAGGAAGAAGAAAAACAAAGCATTTCAAGGGAACTAGGGGCCAGAGAAGAGGTACTCCCATAAACTACCATTACATCTTCCCTGACTTTGGGCAATTTATGCCTTTTTTTTCCTCCTAGTAGCCCCAGAAAGTGGACAGAAATGATAAACCAAGGTTGGCTCATGGGGCTTCTTTTAAAGACTGGCCCATACTGAAGGCACAGCTAGAGTGTCCCTTAGGCCAGCCTCCAAAGACACTAGAGATCCCTCTCACCTGTGGAAAACAGCACATTCTTTCCAAGAAAAATACTTTGAGTCCTTTGGTGAGAAGACAACTGGTGGACTGTTTTCACTTACTGAATTTTATAATTAAGAATGAAACACTATACTATTGCTAAAAATGATTTGTTTTTCTCTTAGAATTTCTAGATTATTTTTTTTAAATCAAGAACTATTCCATTTGTGAATGTTAAAATTATTAGCTACTGAAGACATTTTATAGGAGAACACTTTTTTTTGGAATTTAAATCTCCTGATGATTTATGTTACCATTCTCTAGCGTCTCAGCCTCAAAACCTTGCATTCAGCTTTGTCTTCCCTCTTTTCCAGCATCCCCTGTGCATCTTATTTTGAAATGCTTCCTACAACTATCCTTTTCTGATTCCAGCCAGGTTTTAAGCTTATCACCTCACATCTATACTTCTCCTAATAACTTAAATTTTTTTTTTTTCTGATTGTAAAAGTAATACATGCCCAGCATAGAAAATTTAGAAAACATAGATACATACGAGGAAGAAAATAAGCCAGCACTCAGAAATAGGTGTTATTTACATTTTGGGTTTTTATTTCTAGTCCTTTAGGAGTGTGTGTGTGTGTGTTTAGGAAAATTTGGATCTACTCTCTCTACAGTTTCATGTGTTGATTTTTAAATTGTGATTTCTTTTGTACTCAAGATAACAGCGTTTTCCCACATCATTAGGTATTTTTCCAAAAACTTTTTTTAATGGATGCATAGTATTTCCGTATCATGTATAATCAAAGGATGCATTGCATTGGGCAAATCTGCTGGAAAAGTCCTCTGTAAATTATTTGTCATAGATTGAATTGTGTCCCCCAAAAACATGTGTGTCAATTTGGCTAGGCCATCGTTCCCAGTATTGTGTGATTATCCACCATTTTGTCATCTGATGTGATTTTCCTATGTGTTGTAAATTCTGTCTCTATAATGTTAATGAGATGGGGTTAGTGGCAGTTACGTTAATGAGGCAGGGCTCAATACACAAGATTGGATTTTGTCTTGAGCCAATCTCTTTTGAGATATAAAAGAGACAAGCTAGCAAAGAGACATAGGGACCTCATACCACCAGCGTCTCCTTTGGACCCAGGGTTCCTGTTCAGAGATGCTCCCAGACCAAGGGAAGATTGATGATAAGGACCTTCCTTCAGAGTCCACAGAAAGAGAAAGCCTTCCCCTAGAGCTGGTGCCCTAAATTCAGATTTCTAGCCTACTAGACTGTGAAAGAATAAGCTTCTGGTTGTTAAAGCCATCCACTTGTATTTCTGTTATAGCAGCACTAGATAACCAAGACAATATTCAAAAGCAAAGATGTCACTTTGAGGACTAAGGTGCACCTGACCCAAGCCATGGTGTTTTGAGTCGCCTCATATGCATGTGAAAGCTGGGCAATGAATAAGGAAGACTGAAGAAGAATTTATGCCTTTAAATTATGGTGTTGGTGAAGAATATTGAATATTTCATGGACTGCCAAAAGAACAAACAAATCTATCTTGGAAGACGTACAACCAGAATGCTCCTTATAAGCAAGGATGGTGAGACTGTGTCTCACATACTTTGGAATTATTATCAGGAGGGATCAGTCCCTGGAGAAGGATATTGTCATGGATTGAATTGTGTCCCCTAAAAATATCTGTCAGCTTGGCTGGGTCATGATTCCCAGTACTGTATAATTGTGTACCATTTTGTAATCTGATGTGATTTCTGTATGTGTTATAAATTCAATCACTATGATCTAATAAGATGGATTAGCGGCAGTTATGCTGATGAGGTATACGAGATTGGATAGTGTCTTAAGCCAGTCTCTTTTGAGATATAAAAGAGAGAAGCAAGGAGAGACACAGGGGAACCTCATACCACCAAGAAAGCAGTGCCAGGAGCAGAGATTCCTGGACCTGAGGTTCCTGCGCTGAGATTCTCTCAGACCAAAGGAAGACTGATGCATCACAAGGAACTTCCTCCAGAGCCAACAGAAAGAGAAAGCCTTCTCCTGTAGCTGATGCCCTGAATTTGGACTTGTAACCTACTAGACTGTGAGAGAATAAATTTCTATTGGTTAAAGCCATCCACTGTGATATTTCTGTTATAGCAGCACCAGATCACTAAGACAGATATCATTCTTGGTGAAATAGAGGGTCATCGAAGAAGAGGAAGACCCTCAACAAGATGGATTGACACAGTGGCAGCAACAATAGGCTCAAGCATAACAACAATCACGAGGATGGCACAGGACCGGGCAGTGTTTCGTTCTGTTGTACATAAGGTAGTTATGAGTCGGAACTGACTCGACCACACCTAACAACAACAACAACAGTATTTCCTTATATGGATGGAGCAAAATTTCTTCAACAATATTGTTAACCATTTAGATCTTCTTTTTCCAATATTAAAAGCAGTGCTTGTTTTTCAGTATCTGTTCACAGTATACTATGATGGTTAGAGACATGAGCGTTGGAGCTAGAAAGACTGGTTCAAATACCAGTTCTGCCATTTATTTGTTGTGCAGTCCTAGGCCTCAGTTTCTTTTCCTTGTACTCAATAAATTGCATGAAATGTCCTCATTTACACAGAGCTTGACACATAGTAAATTCTGATAAGTATCAACTGCTCTTATGATTGTCACTGTCATTAACTGTGTACAATTATTTTTAGCATAGTTCCTAGAAGTTAGATTATAGCATCAAAGTGTCTGACTATTTCAGTGCCTTTAATAATTATCGCCAAATGGATTTCTAGAAAGATTCTACCAATTTATAGTCACACAAGTAGTTTAAGTGCCTAGCTAATCTTACCTCTTGCCACTATCGGGTCTGTATTTTTTATTATTTTATACCAATGTGATACACAAAAGCAGTATCTTGTAACTTGCATTTCTTTGATTGCCAGTGAAAAGGACTAATTTTAAATGTTTCATTGGCTAATTGTATTCCTTCTTTATAAATTGTTTGTTGAAGTCAGTACCCATTTGTACGACCATCTGGCTTTTCTTTCCAAGTCATTGAGTTCTTTGAATATTATAATTATTATTAATAACTAGAACCTGTTAAGCATTTAGAACTTTCAGATGAGGAGACAAGGGCCAGAAAGACTAAGTAGTTTGCCCAGTTTCTTAGAACATTGTCTGGCACGGCATAAGTACTCAGTAAATTCTTGTTGTTTTTGTCATTGATCTTTGTGTTTTGTCATACCTGGCACAGTTCAATGCCTTGCACATAGTAGGAGCAGAATAAGTGCTTGTTAACCTACAGTGACACTAAACACCCTCACTTCTGCTGCTTGTGGACAGAAGCCAACCTTTAATGGCCACCTTTGTCACAACCACTGTTTCAGCACAGATGAGTCAGCATCTCCTGAACTCTACTGGATCCCTGTTTTGCCCATATGTTCTTAATGATACTTTTCTCAAACTCTGTAAAATCAAGCTATTTCCCTCACTTCATTTCTAGGTAACAAACCTGAATTTGGCAAGTGGTGTCATAAGCAGAAGCAGTGCTTCAACTCCCCCCACCCTCCAGCCTGTCATCAGTCCTAGTGTCCCAACATGGTCAACACAGTCAGAACCCCAAGCTCCTGAGAGTCACTCCATCCCTCCTGGAAGCAGGTATGTGAAGGGCCGTGGAGCTAGCTTTTGGGTTACACAGGGACGGCTTGGGTCCTAAGCATGCCCTTCCCACCTTGAGTTATGTAGAGTGACACCAGTACAGACACCTTTCTCTACCTAACCAAATCCTCTGGCACTTGGATAAGAAGACCTTATTTTACTTGTGAGGCAGTTTAAAACTAAGTTGAATGAAAAGGAAATTTCTGATACAGTTAAGTAAATTCACTTCTAGGTGAAAGAGCAAAAATTTATACTGTTTAATCCTTGCCTGTAGTCAACATTGTTATATACTGACTTTTGACATTTTCTCTTTGTCTCCTAGTTCTTTTTTATACCTCATACTTAAGCTGTGTTTCAGTAACTTTGGACTCTTTTCTTTTGAAGGACATATTTGTTTTTTATGTTTTCATCTAGGTTATATCATTAAACCCAAACAGCTTCCCTGGACAATGTTCATTTGGGAAGTGGGAAGGAAATTACCTTTATATAGTTGAGAGAAGTGGCAATGGATAAAATTCAAATAGATTCTGACCATAAAGTAAGCAACTCCCAAGTTAAGAAAGAAATCACTGTATTAAATTCTGGTCTTGCTCCATATTTTGTGTCCCCCTGTATAAAGAATGTAAGCTATGGATTCCCTATACATCTTGCTTTAGAGGCCGTTAAATATGGGTTAAATTGAATCAGTTTCTGAGTCAAATGAGCTAGAGAGAAATATGACTGTTATGGTGAAGTATTCTGACCAGCTGAGCTATTGCTCCTTCCAAATAAAGATGCTCCACAACAGGTGTTCCTCCAAGTTCCCACTCCCGTGCAGCCCTTCCAGCCTTGGCCCAGCAGTCTCTTAGTATGCTGCCCTGCCCTGAGGTTGGGAGGGGTGATCAGAGACTAGTTGGAGGAAATACCTAATTGTTGTTATTGCTGCTAGAGTTATTACTTAAGGAGCTAATTTGGGAAGCAGAAACTCTGCCCAGGAAGCAACATAAACATAAGCACATTACATCATGCTCTGCTTGGTACAGTGTCTTTCATCCAGCAATCACTGTGGTCAGAGGAGAAAAAAAAATCATCTCAGTTGAGAATTACAAAGAGTTGAAGATCTAGAGGAAGCAGTTTTTAAGGTAGGATGTTCTCCCACACCATTCTTTTCTCAGGAGAATTCTGTTGTTTGGTGATTTACCTTTCAATCTGTGCGGCAAATGCATTCCTAAAAACATAAGTTGGGAAGAAGAAATCCTTTATATACCATAGATTTTTCTTTCCCGTAGACTCATTATAAAACCAGAGCCTTGTTTCTAGGAAAAACATTTTCACTACAATCTGGATATATTATCTGTATGACAGGCTACAGTCATTTTCCATACTGTAAACAAGATAAAACTACACATTTTTGGGAAGTAGAGTTTTACTATTTTTTTTATACTTGTAGATAGAATGAGTGAAAGTTTTTTTTAATAAAAATGATGGCTGGATTTAGAACCTTCTCTTGGTAGCGCCTATTAGTGCCAAGACACAGGAAGAGAAAGGTCAGACCTAGGACCTAGAGTTCAGCACCGTGAGTGGCCTTCTCCCCCGCCAGACTGTGCTCACGAGGATAGCATTATAGTTTACTCAAGAGCCATTGCAGCCAAAAAGCTCCCCCCACCACCCCGGCAAAGTTCCCTGGTCTTTTCCTTTTTGGGTTAGTTGCATTCACAATAGCCCCCTTTACCTCCTCTTCAAGTGTAAGGGCCAGGTTTCAGGTCCCATTCCAGTCCAGGGCAGCCCTGGGAAATCTTCCTCTGCCCCCAGGTAATCCCTGGTTGTCAGGACTGCCTGGGAGCTCATCTCCAGAGTGCCAATTCCCAGTGAAATTCCCAGAGAAACCCACCCTAAAGCAGCTCTAAATGGACTCTCAGAAGTCCTTCCAGACCTGGCTGTGATGTGGGCCTCAGCCAGATTCCCAGCCAGCATTCTGCACAGTACCATGTCCCATTTCCATTTTTATCTGGTAAGTCACTGTTTTATGGATATTTGTTTAGTCTCTTATTTTTCCTCTCTTAGTAGTAAAGGTGACTAAGTTCAATGAATATGGGATTAGTAGCTTAGAGATGTGAGTTTTATTACTGGTTTTGACATTAAGTGACCCTAAGCTATTTATTTAATCTTTTTATTGGGTAAACATACTTACATGTAAATTGGCCTCTTTTGAGAGCCTTTAGATTGCCCTTAAAGCACTTTGATCTCCCTGGAAGTGGGTGCTAAGTAAATAAAAGGAACTCTTACTAGTTACTTCTGTAATAGCAATAGTGGATTCCAGTGCTGATAAACACTGATAATTCACTAAACCAGGGGCTGCCCTGTAAACAATAATGAGATGTAAAGAGAATTCCATTGCTGGCTGTACATTTCATCTCTGCATGTCAGAGGATTCAGTGATTTGGTAGCCACAGGAATGAAAACTGGTGACTCATGAGAAGTCTTTAAACAGTGTTATTTTTCATTTCCCTGTAGTGTTGCTATTGTTCTCAATTTTATGGATCACACAAATTTTCACCAGACAACCTTGTTCTTCCCCCGCTTTTTGGTAAACCACCCCAAATGCAGCCTCAGGGCTCTTGTCTCCCATTGGGTCAGTGTGAGCTCAGCCCAGATCCTCAAATCCCTTGGTTCCTCTGGTCTGTCTGGAGTCCCTGTTTGAGCTTTGTTGTGGGAGAGGAAGGCTGAGAGCCCACGACTTGCCCAGACAGTCTGAGGCCTGGCCATGTAGCTTGCTGCTCCCTAGACACTCTGGAGCTGGACTTGGCCAGCCATTCCTCTGTTGTTACTTTTCAGAGGTAATAAGTGAGATTAATTGCAGGCCATTCTCCAGAAGAGAAAGTAGTCAGGGCCAAATGCAGTCACATGTTGGGAAGGCTGAGGTGTGCCTCCCAGCAAGGCCAACTAAGAATTATACAACAGAGCCTCCAAGATGCAGGTACCAAGTGTTTGTGACTTCTTTTTTCTTAAAGTGATTATTTCCAGGTTTTAGATGCCGATACCTGGGTAGTTCAGCTTTCCTTTAGCCAAAGATATCAGTTAGATCTTCAAGCTGTCTTTTAATTAGCCTTTTTCCTGGGCACATGGGGAGTCATTAGGAGCTCAGAGTTGTTGTCCAGAATCATCTCCTGATAGCTGCCAACCTTCCATGGGACTAGACCACATCAGGGAGAAGAGTTTTCTAGGTGAGGAGCACTCAGTGGGTTCATAGTGCAGTTTTCTTTGTGAGACCTGGAAAGGTTACTGTAAAGTCTTGGCTGCTGCTTGGAATGATTTGGGAAGGACAGGGCCTCAGACGGCTTGGCAGGAACCTGAGGCCCTGTTTTTTTCCAGTCCAGCCCTTCCTTGTGGATCAAGCTGTCAGGGAATCCCACGAATGTCTGGCTTCTGCCCCTGTGTATGTTTTTCCAGCATTTGTCATTGAATTATTTTTATCCTTCTCTGGCTTTTTCACACACGCAACCTGGGGATTTGTCTGTTCCTCGATATTAAAGGTCGGGGAGGTTGAAAAAGAACACAGCCACGTGTCTTTTCCTACTTTTTGTGATAAGGCAAGACATCATGGGCATGAGCTGGTTGGCCCGGGCCAGCCTCCATGCTCTAGGGAACATCTTCATGTCAGAACAGGGAATGGGGCACAGTCAAGCACCAAATCTGGGAAATTTGGACTGTATTTGGTGTGACCCTGCCCCTCTGCCCTCTTACTCTTCAGAAATAACCATAAAGAGTCTGGTATTCTGCTTGACGTGAATTTTAAGAACAGGTTTTTCAGAGCTTCCGATTCTAGTTTAGCTATTACTCCTCTACCTTATTTTATTTTTAATTTTTTTTTTTTTTTGTACTTTGATAGCTCATCTTTTTTATTCACTAAATAATATTCCATTGTATGGATGTACCACAGTTTGTTTATCCATTCATCTATTGAGGAACAACTTGGTTGCTTCCAGATTTTGGCAATTATGAATAAAGCTATACATACTTGTGTGCAAGTTTTGTGTGGACATAAGTTTTCAACTCATTTAGGTAAATACCTAAGAACAGAATTGCTGAATTTTGTAGTAAGATACATCATAATGACATACGATGTTGAGCATCTTTTCATATGTTTATTTTCCATCTGCATATCTTCTTTACTGAGGTGTCTGCTTATATCTTTTGCCCGCTTTTTAACTGGGTTGTTTGTTTCTTCAGGGCTTGAAACCAATTCTCTCCCTTCTTTTAGACTGGTTCTTACAAATGCTACTGGAGAGTCAGGTCTCTGCCTTCTCATCCTTTCATTCTCAATCAGTCCTCAGAAATACTGAGTTTGTTAATTTCTTTAAAAAATATTCCTGTGCGTTTTTTTATGTGTCAGGCATTGTGCTAGATGCTGAGGACATAGCAGTAAATAAAACATAGTCATCCTGATCTCACCGACTTTACCGTCTAGTGTGTGTATCTTCCATGTGCTGAGCATAGGCTGGGTGCTGGATGGGCTCTAAAAGGCTTTTAAGATGTGGTTTTTGATCACTAAGAGGTTACTATCTACCAAGGAGAAGGAACCATCTACACATGGAACAACTGGAGAAGAATGTCAGGTGGCATATGGCAAAGATCTAAATTTTAGGGCACAGGCAATTAGAAGAGAGTATCAAGAAGATGATCTAAGGATTTAAAAGAAAGCCCCATAGTTCCACAAAAATTATTCAGTGGCCAAAGAGGCAAAGTGAGTCATGAAGTGGACATTTGTCTGAGAATAAAAAATAGTTTACCTCCATCCTGTGTGTCTGTGTAAGGGAATAATTCTGAGCCTCGTCCTTCAAATGCTTTCATTTCTCTAAAAGCATGCTAGCTTTATAGAAAATGAGGCCGGTCATCCCTCTAAGAAAGATGCCATGGTGTTGTGGAAAGAGAAGGGACTTTAGATTTAGACAGACCTGAGTTTCACTTACTATGTTGTGTGATCTTGGGCAAGTTACTTAGCTTCTCTGAGCCACAATTTC